GCTACTTGCTTTTTTGAAATATAGTTAATCCTACTTGCAGAGGCCAGCACTTAATAATAGGCAAACTTGGCAGGTAGAAATTATAAATACATTTGAAATTTTCTCAGCTCATTTTACCCACCAGGGGTTGCTGTGATTTTCAGGATAATTTAAAAATAAGGCAGCAGGTCAGAACATGAAATATTAAAGAGGTTAACAAAGAAATGGAGGAATATTCTTTTTTCCCCAGTAAATGAAAGAAGACACACACATACGTGCACATATATGACAAATAACAGTGTCTCTCTTTCTGAAGCTCTTAAAAAAATAAAGGCATCTTCAGGATCTTTCCTAAATGGAAAGATAGTTTCATCTGACACTTTGAATAAGAAAAAAAGAATTTCAGATATCAGATATGGAAAAGAACTCAAAGAACAGACCAAACAAACCACCCATTGAGCAGCATAGTTTTCATTTCAAGTGATGCAGACACAGCAATTTTATCTTCTGATTCTATTACCAACACTAATCTCAAAGTTCCTTCTGTAAAAATATTCCTTATGTGAACACCTCTTTAATAAACGCTCACACAGACAGGGGGTAAGGAGATCAAAGGACTGAGATTCTGGAAAGATTACCTTTGAAGCGCAGTTCCTTTGGTAATAATACTAGAAATAGCTAAATAGTTGTAATATTATTACGTAAATCCCTCTCTAATTTTCAACCTAGCTTGCCACAAATAGAAAGAATGTTGACTAAATATGAGGCTAAATTTGTGATACTAACCAATGGCTCAGCAAATATAAGAATTCAGCACACTTCTCTTATGTGGCAGGCAGGAGAAATGATCAGGAAATTGATGCTAAGGCCTTTGGAATGACAGAGGGGCACATCCCAGGGACCATCCTATATTGGGACTTCCTGTACAACTGTTGACCACATGCTCCCTTGGCCGTAAGTGTTAAGACCTTACAAGAAGCTGATGATAACGAGGAAGTAAGGAAGATTTAACTGTCAGAAAAGAGGCTGAGCAGTGTTGTTAAGAGGGTATAGAGCTTATGAAATAGCAAGGCTTAACAAAAAGGAGAGGACAGCTTCTCATAACAGAAAAATAATAAACACGAGTTTGTTTTCTTCAAAGGAGATAGAACAAGACAAAAGCAGGAAGTGCTGTTCTTCCTTCATCCTGCCAGATTTTCAATGGAAAGTCAAGTGTGTGCATCAATCACAATAAGAGAGAAGAGACCAAAGTGATACTGCCTTCAATTTTTTTTGAAAGGAAAGTACAAAGATGTATCACATAGCACACTGTTCTTCATTTTGCTTTTTAAAACAGTCCAGTACATGCTGCACTATGAAGTAATTCCCACTGAAATAGTCCCATGCGCGCCAAGCACGACCTCTCTTTAAACTTCCTGTATGGTTCATGCTACTTAGCACTTAAGGCCAGCATTTAGGCTGAAAAGAGAATTCTATTTCATACTTCTCCAAAACAAAGGTTCTCGGTCCACATTATTTAGGTGCTTCTAAGCCTCAAAGGCCCTTGCTTTGCTGTGGTTACAAAGAATATTCCACATACTTGGATAGTTAGAAGTCAAATATTTTTTAAAGAGTCAAGACTATTTGCCAGAGAATTTCTAAGAGAATAGATACTAACCATATGCCCTCCAAATTTTGTATAAAACTAAAAACAAGGAGAACAAATAATTTATTTGCACTCCATCTCATCATTGCACAATTAATTTAATATGCTCTCTCGTGGGTTCGGCCTATGATGTCACTTTCTGGGATAGAAATCAAATTTTGCTAAATTCTATTAAATGAAACTGAAATAATATATACAGGCTGTCCTGAATTATGGACTTGGTTGGTCATAAAAATTGTTTGCCATTTAGTATTTTGGATACTAGAATACATCTTTTTTTAAATCAACATTCTAAATAGTGGTTAATTCCAGGCAAAACTACATAAATTTATTTGCCCCATAATGAATCGAAAGGAATGTATTATGTTCATAGCACTACAGAAGTGATAATGTACTAGAAGAAATAATTATAGCTAACACATATTGAAAGTTTACAGTTGGCTAGAAACTATGCTAAAAGCTTTACATGTATTATCTCTTTTAATCCTCACAATAATCTTATGGTACAGATGAGGAAACTGAGCCTCAGAATATTGTGACCTGCTCTAGATGACACAGTAAGTGGTGAACACAGAAGTTGAGTACAGGGAGTTGAACTCCAGAGACAACACGAAGTGTTAAGAAACCTAGGCCTCTAGTTCCTGCTCCTTGTGGGACTATGGACAGGTTACTCAATCACAATCAACCTGTTTCCTCAACTGCAAAATCAGAGCTGGATTCACTGATTCTTTTAACTCCCTTTAGTCTGAAAATTCTGTTCTATTCGCTAAATTCTACATGTAATTGTCTTTGATTGAAAATGCATTCAGAGTTTCAAATTAGGATAAGAAAGGGATAAGATCAACATCCCTTTCCCTCTATTGAAAATGCATTCAGAGTTTCAAATTAGGATAAGATCAACATCCCTTTCCCTCTTACCTGAGGGAGGAGGAGAACCTCTAGGAAGAAGGAATCAGCAGTGGAGTTTGGAATTCTAGAGGACATACGGAGAAGGGTATACGGAACCTGTTAGATGGAGAGCTAGGAACTCTTGAGGGTTTGAGTTCCTGGTTAGAGCTCTGCCATTAGGTTCTTTTGCATGTGTTGGAATGTTTCTCTTTTTATGCAAGGTTGTACTCCTTCCAGGACCATAGTTCAACAGAATGCACAGTTAAAAGATCGTTCCTCGTTCTATCCCTGAAACAAGTAATACATAATCCCACTGATGTTTGCTAAGAGTTTTTATCTCCAGTAACCAAAGAAGTGGACAAGAAGTGAAAGGGCTTCCTGCTATATACACATGCTGCTCCCTTTTTTTTATTTGTTACTTTCCACTTTGGCTCTGTAGAAAAGACTAAGGTGTTTGAATAAGTAAAGAAAGAAGAAACCATCTGAATTTTAGAAAAAAAAAATCCAGACTCCAAGTTTCTGCAGCATTGCTCTTTAGGAAGAGTAGGGAGCTTCAGTGAGGGGATCAGATAGAAATTCAAGATTCTACCTTCAAAAATGCCTGGATACGGAGGAGTCAAGTAGAGGAAAGGAGGTGGGGAGCACAATCTTTATGGTTGATACCACTCATTCTTCTTCCCTTCCCTATTTTACCACAGATCTTCCCAGAGCGTACAATAGGGCAAACGGAAAAACTGATAAGGTGATGGGAAAGAGAGGGAATAATTGAAACTTCATGCCACAGAAACATGGGGAAGAGGTTCTTTGTGTTTGTTTGTTTGTTTGTTTGTTTGTTGGTAAGTACTAATGAGTATTAATATGAGAGAGGTGATTCAGAAAAGCTGTATATTCAAACATGAGTATAAACATATGTAACAGAATATTAGGCTCAGAGTAGATATCTTAGAGGTTACCTAGCCTTATCACCTTATCAATGCAAGAAATTTTCTTAGAGCATCTTTGACATATGGTAAGGCAGACTCTATTTCAACAGTCTAAATAACACGTTTCATTCTTGGACAGCTCCAATAGTTAGAAAGTTCTTGGAACTTCCTACTATTTTGGTAGAAATTCGGTAAGGACAGAAAATGAGTCTCTACTTTTGCATCCCCAGAACCTCTGATTTAGCGCACAGCAAAAACTCAGTAAATTATACTTTAGATTAATATACAAGTACATTTATGGATATAAGCTATCTGAAGAAACAGATTGTCTACTTTCTAATCCATATAATAACTCTTTACATATCTGCTAACAATTTTCATGTATCCTAAGCTTCTCAAGCTAATTATTCTCAATTTTCTCAACTAACTGTCACTGTTCTGGTGATCCGACTCTGGGAACTTATGTTACCTGTATGTGCCATTGTCATTTCTTATATATATTCAAAGGAAATGAAATTTTAAAAAGGGGGTATTAAAAATCCTTTTATCACATCTATTCCTCTTTGTTATTAGCCATAAAAGTCCTTTGAATTTTCTATAGCCTTCTTAAATATTTCAACACTAAAATAAATAACATATGTTCATGGTAAAAAAAAAAAAATGAGAAAATGAAATGAAATTGTCTCACAATCCCAACCATCTAGGTACATCTTCTTTCAGTTCTTTTTTTTTTTTTAAAGATTTTAAAAAGTAATTTAATCATGCTGCATATATCATTTTATACCCCATTTTTACTTAAAAATATACAATGAACATGTTCTCATTTTATTATAAATTATTCATAGAGACCATTAAAGTATGTACATTTCATTAGAGAGCTATCAGTTATTTATCTGACAAATACCTTAAGGTTGTATAACACTTAATATATCACTACGACAAATAGGACTTTAGAAAAAAATCAATGTAGATGAATTTTTTGCTATATCCCTGATGATCGGTTTAGGACAGATTACTAGCAGTGTAGTTAATAGGTCGAAAGGAATATGTTTTTAATAAAACTTTTGAAATTCCCTTTCTCAGGATACCTTTTCCAGCACTCAAGACTAGGTTAAGTTCCCTTATTATATGTTACTGTAGTACTCTGCAGTTCTCTTTTATAATCCTAATCACCATTTTGAATACTTGGTTGTCTTTTTATTTCCTTTTAGACTGCAAACTGCATAACACAGGACTATGAACATCTTTGTTAATTGTGTTTTGCACAGGGCCTAGCACATAACACATACCCAATGCAGATTTTATTTAGTTGAATATTGTTAAATTGTTTCCTTAAAAAGATATTTGAATTTGTATACCAGAAGCACTGTTTGTATATATCCAACTCAGTGCATTAACATCCAAAAACTCTGATACTCCAAGTGGGGTAAAATACTCGTGGTGTGATTCAATTTTTGTTATAAATTAAGCATGTGGTTTAGAATTCATCTTTCAGCTATTATGAATTGACCGAGTATATTAAGTTCTGCACTAAAAATTCAGTGAGACTGTTATCGGAACATTACCAGCTCTCGGGGTAGAAAAGTTCCTTCTTGGCGGGCAATGACCAGCGATGCTGTCTCTCCCTGCTTGGTGCTCCTCAGCATGGCCACGAGCTCTTCCTGAGTTCGTCCAGTGACGTCTCTGCCATTTACCTAATGAATGCAACCACATGTACAGCTACGATTACGACACTTGCCATCTCTTTCTACTCTAGATGGTTTTTGAAAGTAAGCAGTGAATGGATGTCCCACGATCAATGAAGATCTCAAAAGATGAAAACTGAGCACATGGGCCCACACCAACCATGTTTAAAGTACCGATATTATACTGACCATCATTATCATGGTGACGGATGGTCTCAGACAGTTGCAAATTAATATAAGCAGTCTCTCCTAAGACATTATTTTCTTATGAGGAGAAAACCAAATTGAAAGACACCAGAGACTGATTCCTCAAATAAGAAAGAAGTGGATTTCAGAAGCTTAACTGGTACCATTTTCTGTCTAAGAAGCAGAAATGGATTACATGGCCAATTCCTCTGGAAACAAGAGTCTATTGTTATAATTCTACAGTATTCTCCGTGTTTAGAATAGTATAGTCACCAAGGTATCATAAATTATTGTAAATTCTAATTTGGAGCTACATTAAGTTATTTGGTACATCATCTTTCATAATCTAGAACTGCATATAAAGCTATGTAATATTGCTTTCTTGCCATGAGAAAGTTAAATGGAACCAGATAGTTTCAGTGAAGATAAGTTTCTTGAAAGGTGAGTTGAAAATATATGTTTAGCCAAGAAGATGATGCTTTCAAACAAAAATAAATGAGAGGAAAAAAAAAAAACCTCTTGCTTTGGATAATTCCAAATACCTCTCCATAGGCACAGATCAACCTGAGACAAGCTAACCCATTCTTGAGAGAAGTTTAAAGAAATTGTTACCAGGGCTTGGGTGTAACTTTGAAATTCTTAACCCTAATTAAATAAACCCTTGGATTTGATCCAAATTCCCCAGGGACTCTACGAGGTAGAAGTGAAAAAGAGAAGACAGGGAAAAGTTTTCAGTGTTACTTGTCCCCATACCACTGACTTTACTGGGGACTTACAGAGTTAGGCTGCTTTTAACTAGTTTTATAATTAAAATATTTAACTTGTCATTAAGTAACAATTTTTAATATATTATATTCAAAATGCAAATCTTAATACATATGTTTATATACTTATTTAAACACCAGTAAACATTTTATTGATGATATCAATACCAATTCTTACCTCCAAAATTCTGTCCCCTGATTGTAGGCGGCCATCTTTTATTGCTGCTCCCTTTGGTAAAATGTTTTTTACAAAAATGGGACCAGGACCATGTATGGAAGAGTCTCTGGTAACTACAGTGAAACCAAGTCCTTCAGGGCCTAGCATAGAAGACCAGGAAAATGCACGGTCACCTTAAGCAGGAACAACATTATATTTAATCTTACAGTAAAATCTACCTAATTTAGACTAATGTAGAATAAGTGAAATATTTACATTCCAGCAAATACTTTAAATATGCTTCGGTTGTTCTGGTTTCAAATACAGATTATAGTTCCTGACAGGCCATGATGGTATCAAAGCGAATTTAGGGCCCAGTGCAGATGTGTAACACTTTCGTTTATTAAGGTCCTAGAAGAAGTGCCACATGTTATCCATACACCCGGGAGATTGATTTCTCAGTAAACCATAAGAGGCAAAAGGCCATCTGACATGAGTTTTGTCAGGCAAAAGGCCGTCTGACGTGAGTTTCAATCAGTTAGCTAACCTGTGGCTCCCTTCTTTACCTGTGTCTCAATTCCTTGTGTGCCGTATTCCACTGTCCCTTCACTCACTCTTGCTGCTCCTGTCCCCTTCTCTTGTATCTCCAAGCTTCCTCTGTAAGTATATATATTTTTCACTCTTTCTAAAGGTATGCTCGATTTTTATAGCCTAAAGAATCTTTACCTCTATCTTACTGCTTCTTCAATCTTCCATTGCCAATGACCTCATGTGACCCTATCAGTAAATCTTCCCATTTTTGATCTTTCCTCTTCTCTAATTTTGACACTTCGTGCCAGTTACTTTTCTTGACATTACTTCCCCATTCGGTTACCTTTATTTTCTGATTATTTTCTATCTCTCGGATATCACATTATATGTCATTTTCTGTCTTTCTCCCACAATAACATAAATGTTCCCCAAGGGTCTGTCCTGGAATAATCTGTCCTCTAGACTCTGTGTTGGCCAGCTCCAGGCTCCAAATACCATCTCCCTATGGATGCCACCTAAATGTCATTGTTTGACCCTAATCTCTCTGGTGTAAGCTTCCTAGCTATCATCATGCACATAATTTTACCAGCTTTCCAAACTTCACTATGAACCCTTTCTCCAATCCAGAGTCTGACCTTTCAAATATACTCATTTCTGATTTCTAGCAATGGCATCTCCACTGTGCAAGCCACTCTGGCTGAAATCCTCAGCAATAACTATAATTCCTCTCTCTCTTCTCTCTTCTATCCAGTCAGCTACTAAGGCATACATATTATATTTAGACAGACGCAATGCACTCTTTACTGGTCCTCTGTTGTTTAGTCTCTTCTTCACTATATCTTTTGCTATCAGATTAATCTTCTCAAAGTACAGCTGCAATATCATACTTTTTTAAATTTTTGCATTCAAGGCTCTCTGATAGATATTTAAGGTCACAATCTGCATTTGACTTATCTGTCCTCAAAGCACTCAACCTCATGTCAATACATAGCTGGATAATGTGTATGAAACTGATGCGTTTATATAAAAAGCCTAATTGCTAAGAACACTGGAGTATTTGTGCCTCCTATTCAATAAATTTTCTTCCCAGTAAAGAATTCTTACAGAGGGATAAAATTTTGACCAGAGGATCTTTCAGAATAACATCTATTAAAGGCATATATTATTTGCTTTTAATATATGTTAATAAGTATTCTAAAACTACCTTATGATCATTAAATTATCTATTAATTCAGACAAGAATCTCTGAGATCTTGGTTTCTTTTGAACTGAGTCTTGAAAATCATATAGTATTGCAGAAGGTTTGCAGTGGAGGAAGGGATTATCAGAAGTTACAAAATAAACAAAGGCACAGAAGTGCATGGATGCTTATATGTGTATAATAATATTGCATAAATTCACATGTACACACATGATCTAGTCCCACTGATTTGCACGTGAAATGGATAGAAAAGTTGAAAAAGATAAAGAAAGAAAAGGTTGTAAGTACTTTTAGAATTACGTTTTAAAAAATTGTTTGCAATGTTGAATTAGTGAAATTACTAATTATCACATATTTGCTTTCTGAGGAATATGTTTTTTGGTGGTCCAAAATGATCTTACAGAAACAGAAACAATATGCTTTTTGAGCTTGTGTAAGGATGTTTCAAAAATTACTAACCTTTCTCAAAATCGGGACAACTGAATTTTAGTGCCTATTTAGTATGAAGTTGTGATACGGGAGTGCCCTGTTTCTATCAAGTTCGCAATGATTTTTCCATTCCCCAACACGTCTTTATCAATTTTGTTTCAAATACACTCCCCAGAAAAAAAGATAAAGAAAAGTATTTCAATTTCAAGAAATTTAAGTTACCTAAGTATAAACTTACATCTATTCTTTGATACAATTAAATGAAGGGAGAATTAACAAAATTAGCCTTAATGCATTTCTCTTAACCAATTTTACATGTAACAACAATAGAATGCTATTAAGCATAATTTAATAATTACCTTTCTTAAGGTCAATCTTAATTTTCTTTGCATTTTTCTTGCTGCCGAAACCCATGAGAGGGGAGAGTGAGGGAGAGGGTGGCTTTCTGCCTAGTCTTGGCACCCGAGGGCTCTTGCTTTGTTGTAGGGAGGTTGATGCATCTTCTTCAGGGCTGCTTGTTCCTGTGAGATTTATTGTCTTTATTCCTGATTTTCCATGGACAGAAGGTGGAGGCTTTGTTCTCAGAACACTGTCATTGTTACTAAAAATGTTCAGAGGTCCGATGACTGATTTTTCATACTGCTCACGGTTTTGAGGTGGAAGCACATGGAGGAGCACACTTGGAGCTTTCATTGCCTGACGGAAGACATCTTGAGCACTTGAAAGAGAGTTAGTAACTTTATAATGATACCTCATTCTAGCATGCCATCTTCTAAAGCTCTCCAGCATCACGGCAATAAGAGCCGCATAGTAGCATAAGCTTACATAGGAGATACCATCGCTATTACTACCATCTTGACTTTGCTAACGAGTTATCTCTTATATCCTGCACATTAGATGTCCCCACACTAGACTACACATGCATTATTCTTTCACTTAATCTTCTTAACGGTCATATTAGATTGGTATAATTAGCTCTTATTTTACAAAATAAAGAAATTGAGGCTCAGAGAGATTAAGAAACGATTAAGTCCAACGAACTGCAGCTTTTAAGTATTTCTCGGCCTACCAGAAATGATGCTGAAGAAAATATAGAAGCAAGCTTTAATTATAGATGGAAAACAATCATTTTGTATTATTGATCAGATTTTCAATTCATTTACTTTTAGGATTTATTCTAATAGGTCTTCTTCAACATGGGTTGTGTTCCCAAAGTTCAATTTTGACATAAATGCTTCTTCATAGAGACACTGGGTAGGTGTGTTGGCTGTACTGAATGTTACAGTGGATTGTTAATCCCATAAGCACCCTACCAGTTAGGCTGGTTATTCTATCGAGTACCTGTATTTTTTACTTTTTCTTGTCTCAGCACTTTGTGTTTTTCATCAAATTTCCTGCTAATTTTCTCTCCTTCTTCCTCATGCTTCATAATGCTTTATGACTAGGTTAAACAACTACCTTTCCCAGCCTTTCTTGCCAATGAGATGTAAGTGAAGAGAAAAGCTGGGGACAGAAACTTTTTTGTTCTTTGGTTTCTCTTAAAACTCAGACATGATGAAGGGAACATCAGCAGCCATCTTGTGGCCATGGCATGACTTAAAGGTCAGAGCCACACAATAGAGTGGTAAAGCAGAAAAATGGAAGATGCCTGACAGACTGATGATGGTTGAACTGCCATACCGACTCTAGACTGCCACCTCCATACTTTCAGTCCTTAAAAAATAAATTCTAATGTTGTTTAAGTTACTTTTATTTCAGGTCTCTGTTACTAGCAGCCACATGAAATAATAATGAATCATAATTCCAACTGCCATCTGAGCTCCCCCTCCTCTCCTTACTGAAGCACTTAATTGCCTCCACATTGTTAGTGGAGGAGGGAGGAGGCTTCACAGAGACAGCCCAACTCCTCTGGTCGGATACTTGATTATGAGTCAGTTTCTGCTCCCTACTAACTCCATCCTGAAATTTTATGAGCCCCAATTTCCATCTCTATAAAATAGGGATAATAATGTGTGCCTTGCATACTTATCAAGTCCTTGTAAAAAGTATAGTGATATATAGAAATATCATCATTAATAATGATTATAATTTTATCTATTATTCATTATTTTCAGAAATAAACTATTAAGACTTCATTTCCTTTGACACTTAAGCAGGCAGTGCCCACTGCCCTTTCACCCATGACTGCTGCCCCCCTCCCCGCCACACACTATATTGACAACTAATGGTCACAGAGAAGATATATTAGGTGTTGTTTTGGTCAGAAATGAGAAGTTGATGATCATTACTAAGGAGTATTCATACTTATTCTCTTGCGCCAGAGCCCCACTGAAATGCCAACATACATTTAAATAATATATGCAGACTACTACATAGTCTAATTCTTAGGTATACGAACCTATTCTCATGACATTTTTATACAGAAAGAGGTGATTTCTTGTGAGAGAGTATTTTAATTTTTCCCCTTTGCTTCTATTATTCAGTGAGACCTCACAGGCATCTCTCACAGATATTTAGTTTAAGAAAGACTGCTGACACCAAGTAAGTTAATTAATAAGCTGAACTAACAGTCTGTGAAAAGAGTCATTAAATACCAGTCTAACTGACCCGTATCCCAAGAAAAACAAACCCATCTATTGATGCCCCAGAAAGATAACCAGGCAGGAAGGCTTGCTATATTCTGCAGTTCACCACTCCTGGGGCCGTCAAGGACATGTGCAGGCCACCTTTGAGTGTGCTAAAACATAAGATGCATTTGAAAATGGATGTTTTGGGGTCATTCAAAGGTAACTGACAGAAATTCTACCCAGAATTTTGATCGTAATAAGCTCATTAATGATTATAGGTATTCTAGGGATCAATAAAGTAAATAAAACAGTAAAAAAAAATGCTTACTGAGCAAAGGTTTTGTCTACGAGGTCCACATTGTTGATTTTTACTATACATTCATTTTCATGAAATAGTCCTTCCCGTTTGGACCTGCTATTTTCTTCAATGCCACGGATGAAGAGTCCTAGAATCCTAAATGCAAAATTTAGATTGAAATAGAATTATTGAATAATAATATGCTAATTATTTCTCCACTTGCAACTATTCAGAAATAAGTATTGATTTCTATTTATGAAAGAAATTATGCTTTATATAACTGCTTGTTATTTAAATTCTTAATTTAAAAAAAGGCAAAAAACATAACTCACTAAAAGAGGAAAATCTTTTCAAAACAAATATGCATAAACAGCAACCCGGAGTACATTAATCTACGCTCCCATTTCTAATGCTTGCAGTAAACTTAGAAAAGGCTAGTGTAGCTCAGTGGAGTCGAAGACATGAAGATTACTTATTACAGTCAGCTGTGATGCCCAAGAGAGGGGCTGCAATAAGTAATCTGAGTTAATGCCAAGGGGGCAACTTGCTGTTCAATAATGGGTGAGGATTAGGTATTCGCTGTAATTTTTTTTTTTTTTGCAGTCTTACTACCTGTTCCAATAATTTGCATTTTAAGAAGCAAATATTTAAGCACAGATTTTATTATTTGGTTTAGAAGGAAGTTCAGTCCTATTTGTTAGTGTCACTGAATCAAGTATGTGTTGAGTATTTTCTGTGAGCTCAAGAGGGAGGAGTTGCTGGATGAGGACAACTGGTCAATACAGACAAGTAAAGCAGAAACTTTAAAACTGGACATACCAATAAGCTAGATTCTTCAAAGAAAGATATGGGGAAAAAGTAAGATTTAAACTGGAACAGAAGAATAAGTAGGATTTGAATGAATAGGAGGAGAGAGAATCTAAAAGGAGGCAGGATGAGCCCTGTGGATTTGTGTGAAGAGCAGTGCGGGGAGCTAACACCGGGTGGGGAAGCCAATGCCACACAGAGGGACCTTGAACACTAGCTAATGGACTTAATCCAATGAGGTTGGAGTGGTGTGCCCATCACCCACTGCTTCTGAGCAAGGCAGTGACATGATAAAGGCAGGGCTTTGGGAAGAGTTGTCTGAAATTTCGACCAGGAAAAGTCTGGATTTAGAGAGGATACTTGGAGGCTCCTGGTGACTTGTAGTTATGGCTTAAAGTCAGGAAAGTGGGGAGTTGAGTAAAAAGGAAAGGAGAAAGAAAACTACAGCCATGAAAATAGGGAATTAAATTGTGTGTGTGACTCTGTTACATATCAATAGTATCTAAACTGAAAACTAAAAGATATTAAACTTGTGTATATTTTAGTTATTTTTCATTTGAAGAATGTCCCTTCTCCTTGTGGCATGTCAGGGTCCTAGCTGTATCCCTGAGTAAGAAAAACAGTTATCCTCTCTGAGAGGAATTTGCTGGGTGTGGAGAAACTGCCACCTCCTCTTTCCTTGTCCCCTTGTTTTTCTTTGTCATTCTCCTTCATACAGAGGCTTCATGTGCTATTACCTAGTCCCTTTGCATTAAATCTCATATCTAAATAAAATATGAGCACATTTTATGCGTGAATAATAGGGTCGGCCACGGAAAAAGGGCAGTCTCTAATAAAAGTGTAGGAGGAAACCATCTTCCTGTTTGGAGTAGCCGCGAAGCGGAGCTTCTGCCTCCAGGGCCGCAGTTTGCTTAGTGAGCTCATGTCATCTCAAGATGGCAAAAGGGAGGCACGTGGTTGATATTTAGATATGTACTTTGAAAATGTTAAATGAAATCAGTATGCAGACACAGGAGAGAGAACAGTAAATGGTCACACCACCCATTACAGGGAAAGCTCAGGGTCGCAGGTACCAATGTGTGGTGAGGCGTTATGCTTCATTTCCTAGTTCTGGTAGGTCAGTAAATTAATCATATTCTGTGCGGAAAAGAAAAGGGGCCAAAGCTGCTATTTGATAAAGGATCCTAGATTCAAATTAATATTTTTAAGATACTAATCCTACCTTAATCTTCTGATATAATATTAAAAATTGAACTATTTGACATGCAAAAAGAAAAAAGAAATAGAACAAAGTAGGGTTTCTTTCCTAAATTAAACAACTCTCTAATAGTTCACATTTTGGATTTTTGTTATGGTGGATTCACAATAACATGATCCATTAGGAGACTCACATGTGGTTATAAACTAGTTTATGTAAGCGATATTTTTTTAACAAGCATTCAAGTCTTCCTTTAATTTAATTCAGTACATCATCAGTCATGTAATGTTACTCCCTAGGATTTAATTTCACATTTTGGGAGATGAATTAATTCTTTCAGGCCACTGGGTTGCAATTTTGCTGGCATAATACAGCTGGAATATGCTTTGTGAACCTCACTGATCTAAATAACCTAACTTTCCATGAAAAATTTATTGACAGAATAAGCCCAACTGTAAAAGCCATGTGTCAGAGGTAATTTTGGTAAAATGTAAAACTGACTGATTTTATTAGTTTGGTCCCTGGCAAACCACTCTTGCCTTTTCTATTCCATGGAAGGAACAGATTCCCTCTACTTTGATTTCATCCAGACCAGTATGAGAAGGCTCAGAAAAGAATCTCTCATCCACTTTGCCCCACACCGAGGGGCTCCAGTAGCTGTCTTATGTGAGACCAAGTCTCTCAGGATTTAAAGATAAATGCTATCAAGGGGTTATAGACCGAGAAGAACCAGTTAATTTGCACTAATGAGCAGTGATAAAGGAGGCTAAAATCAACTGCCCCACAGAATTAGAGGGGTAACAACTGCTTCTTGGTCTTCTGATAATCATTTAGGCATTAACCCTCCCTCTCTCTTCTCCCTTACGTTCTTCCCACTGTATCACATGGTCTCGACCACTCTTAGCTTAGCATTTTTATCTAAACATCTGCTTTTCTCCCATTATGTGTCATTCTTCACCCATCCCTTCCCTCTTTTCTCTCATATTCAGCTGTCTTTACCATGGAACTGAAGTATACTATTTTTATTTACTGTAAAACAATTAGATGCCATAATTTTAATTCTAAATCAAAACCACAGTGATTTTTTAAAAAATGAAATTAAGTTGCTCTTTACTTGCAGGGGCTCAGTTGTTTGTATTTGTTTTGTTTTTACTGTGCAAGCCAATGGCCCTCCACACAAGCAGCATTTAGCACCCTGTGCTGTGATGTCTAATGAATCTATTGAGGCTTTATCTAATATAACAGCCACTATATTGTATTCAGGGTGTTCTAACCTAGATTAGGTTTCTAATTCAACAACAGGTGTGGCAGTATTTTTCTTAAAGAAAAAAAAAAACGGAGACAAAGCCAATTACAGTAGTCCTAGTAAATAATTAAATGTAAATTCTAATTTAAAATAATGACACAAACCAATAAGTGGACGGAAATTAAGAACTAAGTATACCACTATGACCTTAACTCACCCTACCCCCACTCACACAGTGAAAACATATGGCATTATAAAGCCAGACACTTGTCTGACACGCTCTACACGCAGTTGCATCTAGACACATGGGTTGAGTTAAGTGTGCTGTTTCAGCCTGTACTCATTACTTCTTAACTTTTATTGGCTCATGTCTCCACTTCCATATTATTTTTTATGTTTTTTAATTAAATTTCCTTTCTATAATACTAGTGGATAGCAAAAAAAATTATACAACTATTTCACCAAGTTACTGAACAGTTGACCATGAACTTATAAAAGTTCATTGTTGAACTAAGCTTTTCTGTTTTAGCCAAAATAATAATACTGATAATTTTCACATTCATATGGTGTGTGTTTTACAAGGAGCTTTCACATTTTTAATGTCATTTAATTCCCACAACCTTGATGTGAAATAGGTATTCATAAGAGGTGAATTTAGGAGGCTTGTTCAAGGTTATTAAAAAGAGAACATTGAGATTCAAACCCAATTGTTCTGAATCCAAGCCCAACACTTTTTCTACTATTCTACAAGACTTATGCTAGACATCAGAACTAGGAAGGAGAAGGGAGGAAATCAATAAATTCTAGTGTGTTTCTCTCATTTGAAGTGAGAGAGGCGATTTCTGGTCCATAAGGTCGACTTGTTTTCCAAACTATTGAAAATGAAGTATGGTGACTGTCACATTGTATATTTCTTCATGTTTTGGAAATTGGGGTGATCTTGTGTTCTATTCCAGCTTTGTTAAGCCAAAGTCCTGATAATTTAACTGCTCTGGTACTTCACAAAGCTCTATCAGTCCACTTCTGCCAAAACCCATTATAATTTCTCAGGACAACTGGGTAAATACTCTCCTCGTCTATCAAAAACAACCTCAGTTGTCCTGTGCCATCACCCATAACATTTATAAATACGCTTATTAACACATACAGGAAATGAGACAATAAGAGCCACTAGCTTTTCAGTTAATTTCCTTTTAAGGAACATTCATTCCAGCAACAGCTTGGCATCAGATGTTATTTGCAAAAAAAAGGTGATGACTTTGCAATTACAGGTAGCAGATGGCTACCTGCTGAAAATGATGCCAACCAAAATATCATGACTAAATCTGCTCTTCCCGCTATATGGCAGACTGAATTGAATAAATATTCAGAACCAGTAAATTAATACTATATAGCCTTTGGGAACTTTTTTTTTTTTTTAGAAAGAGCAATGGAGTGAGAGCAAGTTCGTAGATCTGGGTTTCATGTGACCATGAGAAAATCAACGGACTTTTCCGGTCTTTGATCCCCTAAGCTAAAATAAGGTGTAGTGCCTTTTCAATGATGCATTTACAAAAACAAATTTAGCAAACTAATTAAAATCATGTCATATGAGTGAGGAACTGATTTTCTTTTAAGTCTCTGAAAGTCTTTGTCAATATCGATCTAATGCTAACAGCAGTCATCTTACTTAAAAAGTGACATAATATCTAATACTAATTTTGTAGGGTTTTTATAATAGTGTTACTATTAACTCTCAGGCACACACTTTAATTTTCATCAGTATCCAGTTAGGTAGACATGAATTTCAATAAATGTTGAGACAATCTAAATTACCATTCGCCAGTATAAAGTTAGCAATATAATGTCTATGACATTTCAAAAGGATGTGGTAAATTATTTTTAATTGACATTTTATTTTAGAAAAAATAAATAGCATGATGGCATTTTGCTACTATAGCTAAAAATAATCAAAATGAAAATAGCTTTTGATATAGCTATTTACGTTATACTATTTATTATTTTAAATTCTATACACCTGAGGAATATCAGGAAGTATCAACTTAGAATTACTATATTCACTGGGTGAAGTACATTTTAGAACACTAAAAAATTCAGTTGCAATATTCATCTAACAATATGTTAAAATCTTTCCTAAGATTCTGTTTACTACGTATTACTGATAAGAATACTTTTAAAAAGTACTTCATAATTAATTGTAAATGCAGAAACTGTGATTGATTTTTTTTCATTTCCTTTTCGTCCTAGAAGTAAATGATTTTATTTTATCTCTAACACATAAGTGGCCAACAGAAGTATTACCTTGAGGTGTCCACCTGAATAACAAAGATACACACTTAATCCTCTTCTGAAAAATGTCTGGGAAAATGAACTGCAGTCAATTTTTTTCATTAGAATGAGCTTCTGATGTAAGAAAAACATCTTACCTTCCACTCAGAGATGAAAAGAAGGGCACTACATGTATTCCCAAGGGGCCTCCTTCCCCAGAAATCTCCACTGTTCTTGTCATATCACTGGGGCAGAAAAAAATAAGAGCACAGATGAGTCTTTGCTAAAAAAACAGATGAGGCACATTAAAAAATAAATGTTAGGATTATATCAACTGCTGTAAATTTAACAACAGAGATGAAATCAAAAGAGTACATGATTTGCTGATACGTTCGGAAGATCCAGGAAATAAAATGTTTCAAAGACTATTTGATTTCTTATTTTTTCTCCTAGAAGAGGAACAAATGGAAATGACTACCTACAAAAATAACTTCCTGCTTAACTTAATCTACATAAATCAACATATTTAAAAGCATATACACAAAAATAAAATTTCTTCTCATTGAGACACACTTGAAAATTAGTGTACAGATGATAAAATACATGAAACTAAGCACATTTATGCTTAATCATAAAGTAGGCTTTTTCCCCCCAAAATAGAGGAAAAATAAAATATGTATTTATTAGAAAAAGCACGGAATTACATTTTACAACAACTGCGAAACCACAGTTGGTAATATATGCGAGCATGTTCAAAGCACTACAAAATCAAAATTTAAAGTTGCCTTTCAATAAAGCATAGGTTGTATTCAATGGAACAATTCCAAATTTTCACCTCTTGTGTTTTTTTTTTTTCTTTTTTGAGGTAGAAAAAGAAGTTGCAAAGCCTGGAGAAAATATATTACAAAAAGAAATAGAAAGCCTGACCTGCCTAACCTACTCCAGATTAAGGAAAGGATGAGCTAGAAACATTAATAGATAGTGTGTATGACTGAAATATACAAGACATTGGGAGCTTTTGAGTAATAAAGAGTGGAACTAACACATTTTTATAAAGATGAAAAATAATAACTGTGAACAATTATCGGCTCCTTTAATCCCAGGGAGAGAAAATAAAATTGCCAGAGGAAAAATGAAAAAGTTGAAGCAAACATCCCTGTTGTGGAAATTGTAAGTAGGTCTCCATTGTTTCCTATTTACATTAAAATGACCTGAAACTAGATGTCAAATTAAGAGCTACAGCTGCTACAAATGCTTTTCTGCTACAAATTGAAAATGGTGAAATTTGGCTTCTTGCTGGAAAGTTGAGAATACATTAAGAAAGCAAAATGCCTGATGAAGTCACTCTGCATGAAGTATTCTCTAAATTACCAGCAATCTAAAATAAATACATTTAATATATTCTCATCAGCAGATTAGGCTTATTTTTAATATTTTCATTGCAAACCTGTTATCATTAAGAACTGCGAAAAGGAGCATGTCAGTTTCCAACATTTGTGGAATGGGATGAAATTTCAAATCTGGTAATAAATTTTAAATGAGTTTTGCTCAAATATTGCTGATATATTTAAAACTTGTTCAGTCAAGCAGGTTGTGTCAGGTGACTGAAATAAAGGTTAGAAAGAAAATAAATAAAGGTTAAAGTGAAAATATCATGGGATAAAACAGATTATTCTCCATACTTTCTGTGTGAGAATATAGATATTATATGAATATATGTATATGAAATACTATATATATGTATACATTGTAAGTCTTGAATATAAAATGTTTGGTGGGCAGAGAATGTTATATAGCTTTAAATGGACTACAAAGCAATCTTTTTAACATAATAATAGATTTATAATGCATTTGAAGGTATTTGAGGAAGACTAAACCCAAAACATTCATATTCTAGGGTTACAGTACTGTTTTAAAGGCTTTTAAAAACAGAGACTAAAATCTTGTTAACCATTGAAACTTTATTATTTCTACCTTATGATGTATTTTTATAGTTTTGCACTTAGATCATAACACTTACCTTTCCTAATAAATGTATTAAGTATCCACATGCTGATAGACAGCACTCACATGTATTATAAGAGACTTTTGGAATATAAGTGTTTAGTCTAGTATAGACTTTAAGGTTTTAGCTTAAGAATTTTTAGGATGGCTTTAGGGATTCTCATATTTTTTTATTTTGCAAATATTTCCCTATTCCACTCAAAACCCCTCATGTAAAACATAATGTGTTGTATGTATCAAACCAATAGCTACTCTTTAGTAATTATCAATCCTATATTTTTATATTCACTTAATAAATCTCATAATCTATTAAAGTAATCAATCTTCTTTCAAAATACTAAAACTTTTTGGGGGGTGTATTTTTAAGGTTCATTACTACTTTATAAGATTTCCTTTTTCAAATTTCAGAATAACTTTTATGAGACAGCACAATTCTTTGGCTAGAAGGATATCTGTCAACTGTTAAATTCTATCATGAAAATATTATTCCATAAAAGAACATAAAAGACTTTCAATTTTGTTGATTGTAATATGAAGACACAGAGAATTAAATCTATTTAATATAGACAAGCATTATAAGTCTTATACAGACCATGTTTCACCATGCTCTTTTAAAATTGTAATCCATTATTTGTTTCAAAATGGGAAGAAAAGCATTTTAAAAGAGGAATCCACAGAGACTAGTCCATATATTTTTATTTATTTTAAATGTAAAAAGAATCTCAGTGTTATATATAATTGATGGAGTTCAGTAGAAATCTCTGTATAAACACCATTCATGGAAGACAGACAGAGCAAGTAGGGCTCACAAAATATCTCATAAAGTGAGATTTTACTACAATGTGAAAATATGTTATTAATGGTATTTGTTTAGGTAAACTACAGAATAGAATTCAGGGACCAGAGAGCAGGATACGTACACATTTATTTGGAGGTGGCCAAGAGTGGAAAATGCAGAAAATGAGGTAAAAAAAATATTCTAACAGTAGAAAGATAAAAGGACTGGCAGTTACTTGTGAAAAAAAAAGAGACAAAATATGAACAGTAGGATAAAGGAAAATATTTCAGTTATATTTAAAGAAAAGTTGGAAGATTTCACTAAGGTCAAAATACCTAACTTTACACCTAAATTTTCTATGACATACTAAAATAAAAGCAGATAGTCGCAAAGCATTAAGTCCAACAGTATTAAGCAAGATAAACATTTTAAGATCCAACTGACAAAATTGATTGGAACCAGCTGTAACTATCTAAGAGTTTAGGACAAAACAATGGTTGAAGGTACAGAATTAGTGGTTTAAAAATTCAGGCATGAATGGCTACTCTGCTGAGAACTAGACAGAGAGTGCTTCGTTTGGTTCCACCCAAAAGACATGGAGCCTGAGGGAGAGATTACAACAGGAGCTGCAGATGTTTGTGCACTTAAATGTCTTCACACAAGGCAAGTGGACGGCATTTTTAATATTACAATTATTCAACTCAGTGATAGGCCACTGGTTTAGGGTAGGGAGGAAACAGGACTGAGGGCGGGGAGGGGGAATACTTTGTTTCAGAAGGAAATCATGACTCACTTATGAAATTAGACAGAAAGTATATCCTAGTGGTGACTTCGAGTTGGGAATTTGAGTATATCATTTAAACTAAGACCAAATATATCAGTTTCTTTGTCTGTACAATGAGGAAAGTATAATAAATTTCTATTAGAGTTATTGGTTTTAAAGAAAAAAATGTAGAACATAACATATATGTCATATATGAGGCCTTCACTATCAGCTATTAGGATTATCAGAACTTTCTAAGGTAACAAATAAGCTTATGAATTAAAGGAGAATAATCCATTTCAAGGCTTTACATTTTTTCTCAACTGATTTCCTCAGTAAGACTTAAAAAATCTTTAAATACTGTAGGAAAGTATCTTCATGATTAGTCTGCTGACAGCGAGAGAGAAGATAAAGGGTTGAAATAAATGGATAGCAGGTATTAGTTGCTGTTCTTTAGGAACTGATGCACAGGTCTGTCATATATGATGGTGTGAGAGATAAACATCCAAGAGGAGTTTGCCTATGAGGCCGAAGTCTGCTTGATGGTGAAATGTTTTGTTGATGTGATTAATTCGGTAGACAATCTAAGAATTTGTTGTTGATAATGGTGAGATTCATTTAATTCACTTGAATTCAACAAATATTGAGTAGTTCCAATGGAAAAGTTCTGCAAGGAAGAATCAAAGGGCAATGTTTGGGGAGTTCACAATCTAGGGGGACAGGTAATAAACAATAATACAAAGCAACAGAATAGAAGTAGTAATAATAGTATGTTCTCAATGAAAATAAGCTCATTTGGGAGGCAGTTTGCTAATTGCATTCTGGGTATTATAACATATTTACATCAAATGTATAAATGCTTACATCACTTCCATTTTATGCATAAGTAAACTGATGCTTAGAGAGGGTAAATAATTTGTCCAACATTACACCATTCACACAAGGTAGAGTCAAGACTCAAACTGGAATTTATCATATTCCAGAGCAGTTGTTTTAAACCACTTTGACATGTGTTTCAAAGCAGAAGGTCTTTCTGATGAGTTTAGAGGAAGAGGGTGCAGGATCAGGAAGGGAAGCTGGAATCAAAAAAATCTTTCTGTAGGAGGATCCATCTGATATGGAACTGAGAAGAGCAAATGGATCTTCAATCAAAAATGGTAGGCAATGGGGCAGAGAGAGCATGAACACAAGAGAAAATAGTCTGTGCTGAGATTGTGAACCAGAATAATGTGGGCATACATTATTATGTATATAATGTAGTTGTAAAGGGGAGAAACAGGATGAACAGAGGGGAATATGAGCGAGAGAAAGGGAGAGAGAGGGTAAAGAAGAGAGGAGAGTAGAAAAATTGAGTAATTGATTGAAGTGGTTAGGAGATAATGTTGAACCATTAGTTTGAGATCAAATCTCAGATCGATATGTCAAATTCTATGCTAAAAAATTCACACTTAATTTTGTAGAAAACGGTGTCATGAAAGGTTTTAGGACTAAGGAGCAGTGTGATAAATGTTGTGGTTTAGAAATATATACCTGGTAGTGATATGTGGGGTCAATTAGAAAATGGAAAGACAAGGGAGAGATTGGTATTTGAGACAAGAATTAGTAAAATATTGTGATAATCTGACAGGCAATAGGGCTTGAGCAATGATCATAGGAATATAGCACGAAAACATGGGAAAAATTCAAGATAGTTTGAGATAGGCTCTGCCAATAATTTGTCAAATGAACGGATGTCAGAAGCAAAGGAGAAGATGGGATAAAATGTGAGTGCAGTTCTAAGTCTGAAAAAGGTAAGCGTGAAAAAGGTGAATTTGGCGAAGTTTCAAGAAATAGGGTGAGGTCAGAAATGAGGTAGAAGTTAGGGATCAGGTGAAGGTCTTTTGCAGCTATCACTTGCTATTTAAAGAGAAGCTTAAAGTATAATTTAATATTTTAAAAAAAACACCCAATAGAAACCTCTTGCTTCATTGTCATCTTAAGATCAAAGTAAATTGAGTGGTATTTCATCAGAGATGCATATTGTAAGACTATTAGGAGAATGACCTCTGTTTGTTTTTTTTTTTTTTTCCTACAAATAAAGATGTTTGTGTAAACAATGGGTAAGCAGTTAATAGTTATATGTGTGATTTATGGAGTAATTTGTTTCATCCATTTCAGTCATTCACTCGAGAAATATGTTTCAAGACCTGCATTAGATGTCAGGAAGCCCTTGGCAGATCCACAGTCTTTTTTGGAAGACTGACAAATAGTTATAACAAACTGTAATATGTGTGATAATGATAATTGCAATAGCGGTTAATGTTTATCCAGCCTTTCATTTAGCATCGTGCTAAATGAAATTGCCTGTAATATATCTCATTTAATCTTCATAATAATTTATGTGATCATGATACCCATTTTCCATATTAAAAAAAAGGATTTTAAAGAGGTTAAACAATTAGTCCATGGTTATGTAGGTTATACACGTTCAGACTGAGGACTTAACCAAATTTGAAGGTTTTGAAATTAAGGAATGGTTTGATAAGTGTTGTGGTTTAGAAAATGCATGTTTATTTATCTATAAAATGAAAGTAATAAAAATATTAATACATTTGACATGAGTACATGTTATAATGCCTGGAATGCAATTAGTAATATCTCTCAAATAATAGCTTACATTTTATCCTGTCATGATGTGTGGGATCAATTAGAATAGGGAGCGATTTATATTCAAGAGAAGAGTTAGCAGATTATTACAATGGTCTAGATGAGAGTTAACAAAGGCTTTAGCAATGACTATGAGAATTAAAACATAAGAATGAGTTCAGGACATATGGAGATGGATTTTACAAATAATGTACTTAGCTTCTATGCCACCTGCATGAAAGTAAGCCCTCAGTCTTATGCTTGGGCCAAGCTCTGTGGGATATCAGACTCTTCTTGCCCTAGGAGAATACTGACCATGTATCTCAGCTGTAAGTGGCTCTATAATTTCTCTTCAGTTGTTTCTTCATCATCTCATACCAGCTAGAAACAAAGTCCTCTTCTAAAATTGTAATCTCTAAGCTTTCCCTTGCTAGCTATGCATTCCATGCTCCTTAACCCTAGAAGTGCTGGGAGTCTGTACTCATTCTACTTTCTGAACTTGGCTTCAAACAGATTTCAGCTAATTTCTCCTATACTGGTTCTGACATGAAGTTTTTTAGCCCCAGTTATATAGCATGAAATAAAACACCAATGAAAGTGTACAACATAGGTAACTCTGGAGTCAAAAGATTTGGGGACAGGAATGATGGATATAGACTGGGTCTCTAGAAGTTACTTAATTGCTCTGAATTTAGCAATTCCTTATTTTACTAACTGTGATAATAAAACTCACATGAAAAGGCTGTTTGGATAATCAAATTATATATATACACATATATTTAGTTAAAAATACTATTTTTTAAAATTTCTATACTTCATTTTTCTCAATTCCTTGCACTCAGAGAAAATTTAGCTAATTTGTTTATGTAGCCATAACCAAACAATTGTTCATTCCATAAGAGCTATCCACATAACATTTAGTCAAAATGTTAGCAAACTTTTCAAAAAGCTAGCATTAAAAAAATGAAATTAAAGTCAAACAGAATAAGAGTATTACATTCATTATGCCTACATCCAAAAACAGTCTTATCAGGCTTCTAAAAAGACAGTGCCCTGGAGATTTTCTGTATCAAATTTTTAATACTGTGCAGTTCATTAATCAAAGAAACAATCTATATAAAGAGTAACTATGCCATACGAACTTGAGGAAAATCCACACAGTGTGTAAAGCAGCATGATAAAGAATGATCACGAATATTTCTTAAAGCTAATTCCATGTTAAACGCTTGGCACCTATTAGTAACCGTGCTGAATTAAAGGAATATGTTGACTAAATAAGTGCTGAAGCCAACAGTCTATTACATATGGAATTACTTTCTTTATGCAAAATTTGAAGAAACTTAGAAAAATGATACTATGATGATGATGATAATAACACAGATGATGATAATAATAATAGTGTTAGCAACAGCCGCAAATATTCACAGACTTAATCTGACCCAGGAACTGTTCAAAGTGCTTTACATATATTAGATCATTTAATCTTCAAAACAATCCTCTGAAAAAAGTTTTTAATATTATTTCTGTTTACAGACCAGAAACGAAGGCAAAGAGAGATGAGTAACTTGCCTAAGCACTAGAACTAGCAAGCAGCTGGGCTGGGATTCAAACCCAGGCAGCACTGAGGGCAGAACTGGAAATTGGTGCAGAGCAAAAGAAGTACTGGTAAACATGAGAACAAGTGACTTCATATAATGAGTTACTAATATTAAAAAACATGAACAATCCTGGTTGATAGGCTGGATTCATTATATATACTTATAGTGAAATATCGCAAGATTATTGAAACACAATGCAAAGTTATATTCAAAGAGCTAATGTCAATGTGAAACACTCAACCACGACAAACTCTGAAATGTTCCCTTTAAAGCAATTTTGAAATCCAGGTTGCAGAGCCGGAAGGATTGAGGCACATTTGTATATATGTTTGTCAGGAAATTCTCATGTCATATAAAAAAAAAAAAAAAAAAGAGAAAAGAGTAAGCAATTTTAGAATTGGCACAGGTTTCACTCCATTATTCTCCTTACTTTCATCTTCTCTATAAAACAAAAACAACTACTAAAGAAATAAACATCAAATTGAAATAAAATATTATATTCACATAAGGAGAATACCTCAGTGCATCCTTGACTCTCGGTGATGTCAGTACTTCTGTCTGTACACCATTCATAACTTCTCCGTCTTCTAAGTTCTGTGTGGAATCCTATAGTGAAACAAACCCATAAGCATGGGGATGTTATGCATATAGAACAGAAAATTTGAATAAAGTATCTCAACATGAGAGAGTACATGGTTTTACTCTGGATATATAAAGTATGCTACAATTTCACCGGAGACTGGAAACAGGTGTTACTCTTTTCAGTGCTTTCAATGCTCTTTTCTCTCCCGTTTGGTTTCTGAAATACTCAAATGGGTCATTTATACAAAGTAATATGTTAAGAGCTTTGGAATACATCATTTAGCTTCCAGCTACTCAACCATAAGCTTTTGGGACTGAGTGTTTTCAATCAGCAAGGAAAAGGGGTACCAAAGGGAAGGTCCCATTGACAGGTGGTAATGTATTAGCTTTAATGTACTGTACTTCTTTGCACCCCCAGTGACACTAAAAATATAAAGAAAGCAAAATACATGAAAAAATGTTGCCTGGCATGGTCGTTTCTGTCAATAGTATAACAGGAATATTGTAGAAAAACTCTGGACTTCTTAGTTTGTTATGAGACTTTGATTCTCAGGATGACCTTCAACATATAGAAACTAAAATTAACCATTTAATTTCTAAAATGGTAAACGCTCTTCTACTACAGAAAAGAGGGTCAGAGAGGTCCTTCACTCCAGGACGGTAGCAAAGTTGAGTTGGATGTTACGCAGAGGAGAGAATGGATCTAGAAAGCACACTTGACATAGATTCCCCTTTATGCAAGACATTAGTTCTCTGTTAGACCTTGAAACTGTACTTGAATAAAGTAATTCTTCGGCTGCACTACTCTTCAGAAGCAGTCACAAACAAATAGTGTTAGCCATGGACACAGGTTTCAATGAAACAACAAACCACATGGAGAAAGACCCATTATCAACAATCACACCTGTAAAAAGAGCATTCATGGATCCGAATACACCATTTCAACAACAGAAAAAGGATAATATATGAGTTAAAAGTTGATCATAATGAAATTAGGTTAATATCTTGAAAAAAACAGAGCCACAACTCAAGCAGTTTGCCATAGTGAATTAAGTAAAAAAAAATGTATTTCACATTTAGACTGAGTAGCAACACTTCACGTAAGGTTTGGTAGTTTCTGAAGAACATGGTCTACATAAATACACACACACACACACACACATACATATATATGTACATATATGTGTATATATATTTATACACATACATATACATATATATTTTATTATTATTTTTTTACATATATATATTTGTATATTTGTTTTCTCATTTCCACAGAGATAAAGAAAGGGGAGAAAATCTATAAGGTCAAAGAAAACTTTTTAGTTTAAGGCACCAAATCTTAAAAGATGAATGTCTTTGAAAGCTTTTGAACATTCATATTATTATAAAGGGCTAAACACAGGCTTACAGAGAAAAGAGACAAGGTTGGGCAGGTTACACAAATACTTAGGAAGATAATTTTAACGAAATATTTGCACTTGTGCCTTGTACACATGTTAGAACATTTGATGACCACATTTATGTCGAAATCATTAACTTTCTTATCCGCCTCTTACACAAGAGGGAGCTCCGTGAAGGGTGAGAGTATGTATAGTCCTCTATATATTAAACACATAATACACAGTTTCACTTAATGACTAGACATGAGCCAAGCGATGTCATACTAGCTTTCCAATGCTTTTTAATAAATGATCCCCAAATTTAATGGATTAAAAAAGTAAACATTATCTCTCAGTTTCTGGGAGTCAGAGATTTAGAAGCAGCTTGTCTGGGCGGCTCTGGGCAGACTCTCTCATGGGGCAGCAGTCATGTCGGCAGGGCTGCAGCTGCAATCATCTAAAGGCCTGACTGGGGCTTTAAGATCTACTCGTTTTTCTTAAAAAAGCCTTATTTCGATATAATTCACATAACATTAAATTCACCCATTTAAAAAGCACAATTCAGTCATTTTAGCTTATTCACAGTTTTGTAACCATTACCACTAATTTTAGAACAATTTCAAAGCCCCCAAAAGAAATCCCATACCTATTAGCCATTGCTCCCCATATTCCCTGCACCGTGCCCCACCAGTCCCTGACAATCAATCTGCTTTTTACCTCTAAGGATTTGCCTAATATGAACATTTCATATAAACAGAATCAAAAGATATGTGGTTTCTATCATGTAGTATAATGTTTTCAAGGCTCAAGTATGTTGCAGCATGTATTAGCATTTCATGCAATTTTATGGTCAAATATTCCATTGTACAGATACAATATTTTGTTTACCCATTCATCACTTTATGGGCATTTGTTTGCACTTTTGTTGATTATGAATAGTGTTGTTTTGAACATTTGAAATAATGGTCAATTATGAAATAACATTGCTAAGAAAAGGAAGTTCTTGTGTAGACATATGTTTTCAATTATCTTGGGTATATACCTAGCAGTGGAATTAGTAGGTCATATGGTAGCTCTGTGTTTAACATTTTAAGAAACTGCTGTACTATTTCCAAAGTGTCTGCACAATTTTACATTCCCATCAGTAATACATGAGGGTTACAATTTCTCTTCATCCTTGCCAACACTTGTTATTTTCTTTTTTTCCCTAAATAGTTTTAGCCATTCTTTGGGGTGTGAAGTGGTTTTTGATTTGCATTTCCCTTATAATTAATGATTTGCATTTGCCTACTGATTAATACTTTTGAGCATCCTTTCACATGATTATCAAACATTTATGTATATCTTTAAAGAAATGTCTAATTATTTGACTTATTATTGTGTTGTAAGAGTTCTTTAAATACTCCATATATGAATTCATTATCCTATGTATGATTTGCAAATATTTTCTCCTATTCTGTGGGCTTTTTTCAGTTTCTTGATGTACCCTTTGAAGCATAAAAGTTTTTAATTTTAATAAAGTTCAACTTACCTATTTTCTCTTTGTTGCTTATGTTTTGGTGTACCTAAGAAACACTGTCACAAAGATTTACTCCTATATTTTCTCCTAAGTGTTTTACAGTGTTAGCTCTTCCATTTAGGTGTAGTTCTATTTTGAGTTAATCGTTTTATATGGTGTGAAGTAGTGGTCCAATTCTGTAACTGGAGTGTGAATATCCAGTTGTG